TTCTCCTGTTCAACTGCGAAACGTCTTCTTTAGCTGCCATGTTTAGTGACATTACAGACAAACCCCAAGATGCAGTGCACGACCTACTTTTTATGCAAATGAAGCAGTCGCCACTCTATGTATTTTTACTCTGTGATGTGTGTCATGGACATAATTATTGCTGTATTATCCAGGTCATGGCCATTCCCTGGCATTCTGAGTTTCCTTCAATTACATAGTTGGATGGCCGATGTCTATCCGATTCGAGCGATCTAAGATTATGTTGTGAATTGTTCAACTTTATTTTTCAGTTCCCTTCTCTTGAAATGCTCACATAAAGAACGTGTGAATATCTGGGTTATGCATGTATGTGTGTGTGTGTGGGATAAGTCTTTGTCTTGCGTCTGATCGCCGTGTAACGTTTTGCGTAAGGTGAAAGCCTTCAGCATTGCACGCAATTCTAGTTATATTTGTTTTGTCTACCGCAAAAATGTCAGTACTGCTCGTTTACATTTTATTATTTTTAGAAAAAACCATCATTATCACAATTTAGTGACTTTCCCCAAAAAACCTATACTATTCTTACAAAAGAGATATCTATCATGCTAATAATCCATATAGCTTTATTCTTGCCCATCTCGAATTTTTTAATGGCAAGAAAATATCCAATATTTCATTTATGACAATAATATGGCAGCCATTTTGAAACCCACTAGTAACCATGGTAAACATAAAAGCTAAACTAAAACAAGCCAACAGGGAGGCTGATGTCCCCTGCCGAAATTCCAAAATAAATAGATGACACACATTTATTAATCGCACATTTATTTTTTTTTCAAAAGTATCAAGCAATCAAACTATACACTAAGTTTTATCACTCTCTATCAGATAAGAATCAAAATTATCTTGTCCCAAAGCATTGACCAATGAAATTGCTTAGCTTCAGCTCGAAATGTTAATCATTGAACTCAGTCAAGACATTCACCTAATGAACATCTAAATCAAGTCTAAACATTCTACCTCAATTGAACAATTAAATTGCTTATCGCTCATTAGCCTAAGCAGAAAATTCTACCATCGAAATTAGTCAAGGTAATGATATAATTAGTGCTCCTACGGTTAGGACTTTGGTTAGTAACCGTTTAACCGTATGGTATCAATTTTAAACATAAAACAGAGCTTCTCAGGAGGTGCGAGTCATTACTCGTGCGCACGCTATACTCGCCTAAATGGCATTACACACGCACAAAAATTTCAGGAATTTTTTCATAGACATGTACAATTCTTGAATGAAAATTTAAACTATCTAAGGCCGTAGTTATTTGTTTACCTGGTTAACTTGGTTCATTTGAAACATTTTTTAATTCAATATATATCTACGATAATATACAAAACAATACCCTGTTTCCCTTCGTACGTGACATATGGCGATAATATTACGATTACAAAATGTTATTAAGAATAGAATAAAGTAAATTGGAAGGCATTATTGATTGGACAATAAAGAAATAATTCCTTACTTGCAAGTAGAATTTTTATGATTGGTTAATTTAACTAAAAACCAAAGTAGAATTCTTGTGAGAAATTACCAGATATTAAACGTGTTGAATGTCGTAACGAATCTAGTATAATGTAATTTTCTAGCCTTTATAATTATATTTTGAATGGTAGTTACGTTTTTAAGTAAATAATAAACAAGGTAGAATGTAGTTAGAAATGCCATATGACTGCGACTAGTGTTATTAATAGTATTATTTTTTAGCAGTCGACATCGTAGGACGACTGTTACATTCTAAGATTTTCAAACATCAAATACAAAAGGACACCGGCAAGTTTTGTAATAAAGAGGAATATAATCAGACACAACTTTATGTAATGGTGGACATCTCCGAATAACCGTACCGTTGAATTCGAACCGTTTAACCGTCCAGTTCTAACCGTTTACGGCTATCTGACTAGCCGTAGGAGCACTAGATATGATGAATCTATATTCGGAGTTCCATTGCTCTCAGCTCTCACTTCATTATAACCAAAGTTATCTTGCATCAAAGCATCAACCAATCAGATTGCTTATTTCTGTTTACCCTAAGCAGACAATGTTCATCATAGAACTCCATCAAGGCATTCACCTAATGAACGCCCACACCAAGTTTAAACATTCTACCTCAATTAGAAGGAGAGTTAAAATTATTGTGTTCCAAAGCAGGGTTCCCGCGGCTTCGTCAAACATTTTTTCAAGGATATTCAAGGATAAATATACGTCAAATTCAAGGATTTTCAAGGACATTTTTTAGCCTAAAGTTACAATTTTTCATCTTAAAAATAACCAAAACATTACCAACTATCGTTATAATCTCATATTTAAAAGGAATTGAAGACATTTGAAACAAAATTAAGGATCTCAACTGAAATTCAAGGATATTTTCCTATTTCTGCGAAATTCAAGGATATTCAAGACCTTGAAAATGAAATTTTAAATTTAAGGATATTCAAGGATTTTCAAGGACTGCGGGAACCCTGCAAAGTCACGACCAATCAAATTGCTTATCGCTCTGCTCACCCTCAGCAGAAAATAGTCATAATCGAACTTAGTCAAGGTATTGATGTAATAAAGCTATACACCAAGTGTACTCACTCTAAAGTGATCGTGTCTCATGTATATCAACCAATCAAATTGCTTATCTCTGCTTACCCTAAGCCGAAAAATTCTCATCTTCGAACTCCATCAAGGCAGTCACGTAGTAGACACCTATGCCAAGTGTGAACATTCTAACTCAATTAGAATGAGAGTTATTGTGTTCCAAAGTCTCTACCAATCAAATTGCTTATCGCTCTGCCTACCCTGAGCAGAAAATGCTCATTATCAAACTTAGTCAAGGTATTGATGTAATGAAACTATACACCAAGTTTCATCACTCTCACTTTATTAAAACTAAAGTTATCGTGTCCCAAAGCATCAACCAATCAAATTGCTTATCTCTGCTTACCCCGAGCCGAAAATGCTCATCTTCGAACTCTATCAAGGCATTGACCTAATAAACACCTACACCAAGTTTGAACATTCTAGCTCAGACAGACAGACGGACGGACAGACGGACAAACCAATTTTAATAGTCCCCTGCTTTCTTCGAAAGGCAGGGAACAAATATGCAAAAATCATAAGTCATATATATAATGGATATACATCTGCAATTTTACAGTTGTAGTCGCATTCATATTCAAGGTATGCATGGTTTTTCACAACAGGGTCTAAAGCTTGATTTTTACTCAATATTTTCATAGCCCTCTATGGGTATGAAGTGGTTAGCTCATGAAGGGTTAAGTAATTATCAGAAAATCATTAAAATTTGTTTGGCTTTTAGTTCAAAATTCATTGAAAATCAATATTTACTTGTTCGTCTCAAGACATTATACTCTGTTTATCAACCAAAAGTTAATTGGATAATAACTTTGGTCTATAGAGCATCCACAAGATTTTTCAAAGTGATCAAGGCCCATAACTCTGGTAGTAATTATCGGAAATAACTCAAAATCACTGGAATTCTTCCGTCTCACAACCTTAAACACTGTGTATAAATTTAAAGTCAATCGGATATTCACTTTAGCCTCTAGAGCGTCCACACAACATTTCAAAGTGATCAAGGGCCATAACTCTGGCAGTAATTATCGGATATTGTTGAAAATCAATAGGCGTCTTTGTCTCATGACCTTAAACACTAAAAATTTAAAGTCAATTGGATATTAACTTTAGCCTTTAGAGCGTCCACAAAGATTTTTCAAAGAGATCAAGGGCAGTAATTATCGGAAATCGTTGAAAATCAATAGGCTTTTTCATGTCACGACCTTAAACACTGTGTATAAATTTAAAGTCAATCGGATATTAACTTTACCCTCTAGAGTGCCCACAAAATATTTTGCAGTGATCAAGTGCCATAACTCTAGCAGTGATTATCGGAAATCGTTGAAAATCACTGGGCTTCTTGGGATATTAACTTTAGCCTCTAGAGCGTCCACGCCGGATGGACGGGGGCGACGACAATATATACGACCACATTTCAATGTGGGTGTATAAAAAAGGTTACAAATCGGGGAAAAAACAACTTTCTTCCAACGCGGGAATTGGAGCTGTGACACCTGAATGATTTTGAAATCCCCTGGATTTAACTCATTTAAACCATTGGGCCAAAGACTTTCTGCTGTGTTCAATTTTTTCTGATCTTTATCAGTAATTTTTTGTACTATGGTTGATACACCATAATCATGACCATTGACCAGGTATATTAAAATGGGGGACTACAAAGGGGGATTTAACTCATTTAAACCATTGGGCCAAATTGAATTAAGTCTATGAATCCACAGACTTTCTGCTGTGTTCAATTTTTTCTGATCTTTATCAGTAATTTTTTGTACTATGGTTGATACACCATAATCATGACCATTGACCAGGTACATCAAAATGGGGGGCTACAAAGGGGGAATGGCCAGGTTTTTTAAGCTTTACATTACCTTCTGTGCTTATTAAGCCTGGAGTAATAGTTTGGCCTACAAATTGCATATGACAGGTTTTACATGTTAAACAATAAATAAAAGTACTGGCACAGTTGACAGAGTCTCTAATTTTGAATGATTTCATTTCATTACTTGTTATTTCTTGATTTGTACACATAGTCTCAAATGATTTGCATAATTTTCTTAAACAAGGTTGACATGTGTATGAACTTTTGTCTTTAATATTTTTATTAGTGCCATAGTTCTTTACTTTTTTCTTTCAAAATATTGCCAATTGTGTGGTTCTTTCTCTCTGTTTTTGTTATTTTGCTGTTATCCATATTTTTTGTCATTTGTGAACTGGTGTCTAAAATACTTCGGTCTTTAGTCATTTGGTGTAGGTGACTTCCAGTCATTTTGTATTTAGTTTTTCATCCCTGAAGAAGTTAGTATGTTGGATAAAACGACATTTTTTCGATATTGTATTCTACTAATTATTGTATATCACTTGAAAATGTGGGGGTATAAAAAGTTTACAAGTATTTGTGTAGGACAGGCAGAAATACATAATACATACCTGGATGAACACAGTTTGGAAATTTTTCAGTAGAAATTGCATAATGAACAGTGATATTTTCTAACGAGTAAGCCCTTTTATCATCTACAGTTACTTTATCAGTAGCATGGAACATAAACTTGATCATCCAGTTTTGAAAAAAACTCAGACTTATTTCCTGGACATCACTTGTTACATTACAATCACCAGTTACATTCACCTGATTCTGAGCTGGTACATTAATAGTTCTTGTCCTGTTCTGAAATTGAGAAATGCATTATAAATGTTAATCAGTGCCAGATTAACCTTGTGGGGGGCCCAGAAGATACCAACTGTGCGGGGGCCCCATTGTTGTTTGTTCAAATTGTTTGTACTGACCGCGGATCATACTAGTATGTACACCGCCCCCTTGAGTGCCTGGGGTGTTTCCCTTCAGGAATTTTTTTTAAAATTAGGATTAATTTCAGTGCATCGGAGACCATTTAGGCAGCGATTTCCTGGGCCCCCGAAAATCTGTTGGTATCTACCAGTCCCGGGGCCCCCAACATCCCTTACTGCCCAGGGCCCCAATCCTCGCCCCCTCAGCCCAGGTACTGGTTGGCTCCATCCGGGATAAAATATTGGTATGACCCAGAATTGTAGGGGGCCCCGGGACATTTGTCCCACTTTACCCCCCCTAGATCCGGTACTGATGTTAATTACTGGTTTGAAAAAATATATGTTGAGCATTTGGTGTTTAAATGTAGCTCACCAGAATCAGTTAATGTTCGAAATGATAATAACCTATCATTTATCATTTTTATTGGGATGACGGAAATTTGTTTTATACTGCACTTTGACCTATGATGTGGATGAACAGAAAAGGGAAGTCAAAAACTTATCGGCTATCGGGTAATATGGTGATCAAAAACGTCACATTCATAACAGCTTGCTTAATTCAGAAAAGTTTTCAAGCTGACTAACTTATGCTATTATTGGTAATGAATATCTAGGATATAGATAATTGGTTTGAAATTTAAATGTTTTCAAATAAAAATAAAGTGTGAAGTAGGCCTGCAGTCAAAATTTCTAGCATGAAGTTTCGCTGCATGGTCCTCCCAAATAAACTATACATTTTTGGAAAGCTGGAACACCCGGAACACAAATCCAGAGAGTTCCAAGCAAAAAGTCTGCACTAACTCGATTGAGGGCCAGATGAAAATTGTGATAATTGTGAAGTAAATGCTATATTTACACTAATAATTATGAAGTTGACATAAAATTAAATATTGGCGAAAACACTTGATGCCTTCATCCTATGCAAAGAATATGCTGTTGTTTAAATTTTGATTTAAAGCAAAATGCAAAAAACATAATGGACAAGGAAACATACAGAATTTCGGAAATCCATTTATGGTAAATGGAGTTATTGATAAGAGTAAAAGGATTTAATAACACACAAGGGCCTATTTAAGTTCAACCTTTTTTTCAGATAGAATTTGAAGCTAAAGGTCCAACAAATATTTAACCTGAAACATAGTATCTACAGATATTTAGTTTACTCACTAAAATAGATATGGCCAAAACTAAATAATACGGGCACAAGCTTCAGAGAATGCAGAATGCGACCATATCTCATGGAAATATAATTGTATATTTGTGAAATTAATTCAAAACAAAAAACCATGACAGCTTTGTGGAAAATTCATTTCAGTTCATGATCGATTCATTCAGAAAATTTGGGTGACAAATTTTTCAGGCAAATAGGCTCAGTCCCCCACCCCCAAGTGAGATTAGCCCCCTACACCCATGTAGTCCCTTACCTGTTGTACAATCCGATTCAGTTTGTTGAATCAAATATTGTTTAAACTATTGTTTTCCCTCCCATCCGAACGACTGGGCATTGTCCTTCAAGCCCCCATCCCGTACCACTGCCAGGGGGATACCACCCCGTGTTGTCTTGTACATGTACATATCTAATCTGTGTAAGTGTAGTAAATGTGAAAATTTAAAGTGCAGAGTAACTGCGTAATTTTGATTTTCAATAATTGATTTACTTCAATAAATAATTTTTGTCTTAAATCTATATTTGTTAGGAAATTACACAATTTTAGATACGATTTCAGTTTAAATGTTTGTAATTTGGCCTTAATTATCTGAACTACAGGTTTACAGCTACCTGTAGTAAAATTAACGTAGGGTCTAATTGAAAGGGTATGTTGGTGTGGGTTTATGTTTTAGTGGAAAAAATCAGGTGGTTTCAATGCGATTTACAAAACTACAGACATAGTCTGGTCTCCATTTCTTCATAGACATATTGCTCAACCAATGTCAAACGTATCTCCTTGCCCATAATTTCTGGGTAAACACCTGCTCACCAACCCTTGCAGTCCCCTGTGAACCCATTAACGATATAAATATTGGGCTTGTGTGCTCACACATGGTCTTGTGCGTCATACAGCATTAGCAGTCAACACGCACCTGAAATACTGTTACCAATTGCAAACATTTGACAGAAAGGGAGATAATTCTCTATTACGTTAATGGATTTCCAAAATTCTGTATGTTCCCTTGTCCATTATGTTTTCTGCATTTTGGTTTAAATCAAAATTTACCCAATACCATATTCTTTGCCTAGGATGAAGGCGTCAGGTGTTTTCGCCAATATTTAATTTTATGTCAACTTCACAATTATTAGTACAAATATAGCATTTACTTTCCAAAAATGTATAGTTTGTTTATTTGGGAGGACCATGTAGCGGAATTGTGTTTCTAAGCAAGCTAGAAATTTTGGCTGCAGGGCTAAAGGGCACAGCTACTTTTCCCGAGACATGTTTGAATTCACTGAGAAGTAGCAAAGGTGATATTTGTACGTTTAGAGCATACATTTCTATGAGGGAAATTTTGCCTGGACAGAGGTCCTACTCTTATATCGAATTCCAACTGTCAAGGGATCTTTTATATGCACGCCAATGTATACACTGGACCTCTGTTTTTCATTCCATCTGAACGATTAAACAGCTGTCCTTGTCAGGCCCTCCGTCCTGCATCACTGATAAGGGGGGAACAACGCCGGAAAATCTGCCAATCGAATATCGTTAAAATTCTAATTATTGCAACAAATTTAATACAAAGAGGCTAAAATCTGTACATACGGAGTGTTAATTAACAGGGGTGAGAATTGAATGAAACGTGATTAAATTATCGCTAGGGGTGAAAATCTCTGCGACGGTGCATTTTCTGTACTGGATGTGTTAATCAACGGACAGTTAAAAACAACTGACACGGTGTGTAGTCTTTGTTTGGTGAGTTTTCTTGAAAGCATGTTATAACTGCACCAAATGTGTTTTATCAACACTATACGACTGGTACCGTGGAATCTCGGGTAAATAGCGTTATTATCTAATCTATGTAGAATTATTCATAAATATCATTGAATTTGGCCTAATAGCATTCAATTTGTCTTTGTATACAACTTAAATCTCAACGTGCAATTTTGATTACCAAGCGTTAATTAACTAGTGTTTAGTTTGTCGACACGTGTGTAATTATAAGCGTCCCGCTTAATTTTCACGACTGTTCAATAATTAGTTGGACCGTTCAATTTCCCGAGTTGTGATTAAAATTAGTCAAGGTGTCCAATTACGCCAGGTATTCAATTCTGTTGACGAACATCCAATTTCACATGCGTTGTTCAGATTTTAACGAAATGTTTATATTGAAGGAGTTGTAATATAGTAATGCTGCCGTGAAAACGTGTACATGTATAATGTACAGGCCGGTTTGAATAACAACAAAATGAGTTCGGTAATCTCGGGAAAACATTTACTGGCATTCTGTACCTGTTAGGATTTTTTTCTAACGCACTTTACATGCATATAATGTCGGACAAAATGTATGCAACAATGAACAACTTACAATTTTTTTTACAACGTATCATTACATCTTCGTCTATAACTTAGATGTAATCCATCAATTATTGGCTGCTATAAAATCCAAATTTTAAATTATATACGTCGTACGATGAGCTTGCAGCTTCAGTTAATCTAAATCAATCATTCATAGAGCGCTCGATCCACTCCACGGGGCGCTTAACGGTAAGTCACATGGTCAGAAACGTGCCAATTTTGGGACTATATTCTTAGTCTGTGTTAATCGGCGACAAATCTCCGCTGTGACAATATACATCTACTTTAAATGTCGCCCAATTCATTTCGGTGCAAGCGGATATTGAATAAAACCATTTCACACACGTGTACATTACATGCGCATGTCATATATTTATACAATATCCACGAGTGTGTTAGGCCTACATGTAATTCTCGCCTTCAATTCGTTATAATTTTCTTATTTTGAGTACAATTTCTGAATGATTCCATTCTTTTGTACGTCCAACTTCCCAAATTCCTACTGCATATACATGTACCCTGTGTAACTGCAATCTATAAGTTTATACATACATGTATATGTTTACGTTTAAAATCTAGATATCAGAAGCTCGAAAGTTATACTAGACGGTGAACACACAAGTTTCTTGATTTAACCTGAATTTGCTTTTGTAATTATAACTGTATGTAAATCGTGATTATAATTATAAACAATGCATTTATATAACTGTACAGTTTGTTTTCAGATCCCATAATTGAACATTGTATCTTTATAATATGTAAATATTGAATAAATATTGTTAGAAAAAAAAGGAGAAAAAAAAAAACAAACCTGCATCTATATTGCATAATATCGGACCCATATTTATCCTTGCTATTCGGACCAACCAAAGGACCAATTAAATTACATTATAAGGCTTGACTTATTCATTTTAAAAATATAATACAGACAATATGTTATTAATGATTTTAATCATTAATAACATATTGTATCATAATACAAAGAGGCGAACAATTTATAGGTGAGTATATACACAACTTTAGAATATCCGCTGCCGGTAAGTACATATTAGCAAATATATATCTTTATTACAATCAACTGGTTAAACACGTTCCAAATATTATTTTATCACAAAGATCATTGCTACGATAGATGAGTAATCAATGTTTCAACAATAGGAAGTGACGAAGGCAAAACGAAAACACGAGTTATCCTTTTATATAACTAACTGAAGTGACGGGTGATAACAGATACATGGGCGAATTTCTGCTCACTAATAATTCCTTCGAAGACCAAAAGTTGTTGTATGGGATTGTTTCTATTTTTCTCGTGTTCTCTTATCTAATGACATTCAATTACTTTTTTGAATTGTCAGATATACTCTTATAGTCT